ATTGACTTTTTAATTGATAATACGAAAAAATATTGTAAAGTGGCTTGACCCTCCTTGACACCAACGGTTGGATGTTAAGCCCCTCCTGTACAAGAATTACTTTACTTTTAATAAAGGACCAGGAACCCCAAACGGCACGAAGCAGAAACAGAGGCAAACAAAAATCACTCATCTTTGAATAATAATTACCAAAAAAAATCAAATAATTAAATGATATATCGAATTCATTTTTTATCTTATTATTTTTTATATTCGATAGACGAAAACAACTGATATATTAAAGGTCTAGGTGAAGCTAGAAAAGATAAACAATGAAATCTCACATATTCGAATCATTTCCACCAAAAAATATTAAATACTTAAATGACGTACTAAAAGTGATTATTTATTCTATTAATAGACAAAGGCAACTGGTTTATTAAGCTCAAAAACCATGTAGTTTTCGAAAAAAATACAAACAACCAAAAACCGAATAAAATTATTGTCTTACCCGATGTCAAACGACCTGTTGGGTAGATTGGAACAAGAATTAAGCTCATTAACCACGTAATTTTCGAAAAAATACAAAAAAAACGAGAAAAAAAGATTATTTTTTAATTGTCTTATTTAATGTTAAATGACCTGGTGGGTCGAATGGGTCAAGAATTAAGCTCATTAACCACGTAATTTTCGAGAAAAACACAAAAAAAACGAAAAAAAAATAATTCTCTTATTCGATGTCAAACGACCTTTGGGTCGATTGGACAAGAATTATGTTCATAAACCACTTAATTTTCGAGAAAACACACAAAAAACGAAATTTTTTTTATTGTCTTATTTGATGTCAAACGACCTGCTGGGTCGATTGAACAAGAATTAAACTCATAAACTAGTTAATGTTCGAGAATAATACAAACAAACCGACAAAAACCTTATTTTGTCATATTCAATGTCAAATGACTTGCTGGTTCGATTGGATCAAGAATTAAACGTCTAGGTGAAGCCACGAAAGATAAAGTAATCAAAAATATTCCAATAATAGATTTTAAAGCAACGTTAAAGGGAAAAATTGTGCTTGGCCTAAGATTTTTTTCACGTTTGGCAGGGTGTTTTATGTCTTCAAATAGGCATTCATGTTTCGGAAAATTCCGAGTATGTTAGATTATTATTATTTTTTTTTAATTTTTTTTTTCTCCCGGGGGCTTCCAACAATAAAGTCATTTCAGCCCCCTCTCACTGCACTGTTGTGGCCGATGGGGTACACAATATTCCGCGATCGGCCCTACAGTCTAAAAGATCAATCATTTACAACAAACAAATAAATAAATTACTTATAAATAAGTACAGGACACAATAAAACACAACACAGATACACTTATTTACACAGATATTCACGTTTTATGCACTATTTACAAGTGAGGAAACTCTCTTAAAAAGCGGAATAGGGGATCCAACATTTGACTTGCTCGCCCGAGTACCGTTTTTATGTCAGGGTTCATGCCTACTCGTTCCCTGTAGGGGGCCAGGGCACGGCACTCCTCGACAAGATGAGACACACTGAGCAACCATTCTCTACAAGCGGGACACCTGCGCGGGTTTTGACCCAGAAGCAGATGCCCGTGTGTCAGACGGGTATGGCCAATCCTCAACCGAGTTAACACGATCCTTTCATTTCGTTTCAGATTCTCATGAGTCGTGCCCTTAACTCGCAGGAGCTTCTCGGACGACCCGGCCCACTGACGCTGCCAACGCTTTCCCACAGCGTTCTTTACTGCTCGCACAGCGTCACCGGGCCGGATCGCGGTAGCTTGGTCTGGAGGGCGAGACGTCCCAGCTTTCGCTGCCTCGTCTGCACGTTCGTTGCCCTCCAGCCCGACGTGTCCGGGTACCCAGACAACTACCACCGTTTTTCCCAGGCGCTCCAGCTCAGCATATCTTTCTAGAAGGAGCACGACAAGAGGGTCCGTGGCGAATCTGTCCTGGATTGCCGATACTGCACTCAGGGAGTCCGTACAGACAAGAAAGGCAGTGCCCTCATCGTCTCGCCGACCTCCGTTAGATCTTTACCAGAATGGTAAAAACAGAGGTCGTCGACATAGAGCATTTTTTTTATCTGCGGGGGGACCAAGTCGGCGATCCCGTTCACCGCAACTAGAAAGAGCGTGACACTCATCACCGATCCTTGGGGGATACCGCTCTCCTGAACGTGATCCCTGGATAGCACGGACCCAAGCCTGACTCGGAATCTTCGATTTTCAAGGAACCCGCGGATAAACCGTGGCATTTTGCCTTTAAGACCGATTTCTTGACATTTCCGCAGTATCGCATACCTCCAGGTAGTGTCATACGCCTTCTCGAGGTCGAAGAATACGGCCAGGGCGTGTTCTCTGTTCAGGAACGTGTTCTGAACAACTCCCTCGAGCTGACAAGCATGATCCACCGCAGAACGATGCCTGCGGAATCCTGCCTGATACTGGCTATAAACTCCTTTCGTCTCAAGGTACCAGGTCAAACGAACATTGACCATGGACTCCAGGAGTTTACTTAGGCAGGTTGTCAGAGAAATCGGTCTATAACTCGCAGTCAGACTCGGATCCCTGCCCTCCTTAAGGACAAGTACAATAAGCGCCTCTCGACAACGGTCAGGATAGGAGCCCGTATCCCATATGTTGTTGAAAAATTCCAACATTCGATGCTTAGCCCGCTGGTGCAGGTGGCGAAGCATCTCATACGGGATACCATCGCGCCCCGGACTAGAATTCCGGGTGCGACCCAGTGCCGACTCCAGCTCACTCATCGTTAGCGGCATGTTATACGCCTCTCCAGTGTCGCTGTCGAAGTCAACCGCAGTTTGTTCCGCCTCATCCTTGAGTATCCGGAAGCGGTCACTGTACGTCGCCGAGCTGGAGACGGCAGCAAAGTGCCTAGCCAGCTCTTCAGCCACATCCGATGCCTCAGTCACACTCCCGCTGTCTGTTACCAGTATCGGCACCGACGGAGGCTTGTTCCGGCCAGAGATGGCTCGGACCCTGTTCCAGACATCCCTGACAGGGGTATGACAGTTCATGCCTGAAACGTAGCTTTCTATGTAGTTTCTTTTTGCTTGTGTTAAAGTGCGCCTCTCTCTGGCCCTACTAACTTTGTATCTTGTTAGATTTTCCTCCGTCGGGTGTCTTCTGAAACGTCGGAATGACCGCCTCTTCTCCGCGTGTAACCTACCTCAAACGTCGGTCCACCAAGGTACTCGGGGTCTGGAAATAGTCCCACGAGTCCTGGGAACCGATATGCTCGCGGCGTGGTTAATCTCACTCTCGGTAAGATCGAGATCGATGTCCATATTTCCAGTGAGATTAGGTGTTGACATCGACGAGGAGAAAAGCTCCCAATCCGCACGCTTCAGATCCCATTTGGCAGGGGTGTGGTAGACAGCTCTTGAGACGGAACTCCTCAGAAGAATTGGGAAATGGTCACTCAAATGGGGGTCTTCCAATGGAGTCCATTCCAGTTGAGTTACCAGGGACGGTGACCTACCGACAAGTCAATCGCACTCAATCGTCCGTTGCTCAAATTTATATGCGTAGCAGCACCAGTATTTAGGGGTATCAATGCTAATTCGCTAATGATATCCCCCACATCTCTGCCCGTGGCATCGGCGAATTCAGACCCCCACCAAGGGTTGTGGGCATTAAAGTCACCCAGCAACATGATAGGTGGGGGGAGACGCTCGATCAGGGCAGAGAGCTCACTGTCTCGCCACGACATGTCTGGGGGAAGGTAAATCGAGCACAGGGTCATTGGTACTGGTGCTGCTATTCTAACGGCGACCGCCTGGATACCTGTCTCAAGTGTCACCTCACGTGCCTCTATTTTCTCTTATGAAAATGGCCACCCCTCCGTGAGCCCTACCCCCCGGATCAGGCTGCACCTCTCTTGAGAAGGTTTTGTACCCTCTCAGTTCGAGAAGAGCCCCCGGTCGGATATGGGTCTCCTGGAGGAGGATAGCCAATGGGACGTGTACCCTGGTGAGGAGCTGTAGCATGTTTCTTTTGCTGGATACTCCTCTACAATTCCATTGTAATATGGACTCCATCATTTATTCGGTTTTCTGAGGGTGCTTCCTTTGCTTTGGTCTGGGTCGACCTTTCTGCCAGCCTTTTTTCTTTCGGGCAGAGTTATCCGAAAGCACATCGGAGGACGTCTCTGACTCCGATGTCGCCTCGGCGTCCGTTACCCACTTAATACGTGGTAGACGACTGTTGTTTTTGGACGCCCCTGTCGCCGAAGGTGGGGGAGGTTTCGGGGGCGCCATTGTAGTCGTCGAGTCTTCGGGCTGCCTTTCTGGGCTAGCCCTGGTACATTATGGGGAGAGGGATGGTCGCTTCTCCTCACTGGGATAACGGTGAGGAAAAGGCTCTTTTAGTCGCCTCATACGACAGGCAGAGAAACCGTGGGCCTATTCTACCCCGGAACCCACACGGGTTGGGGTGGTTAGTTAAATGTGATAATAATATCAAAATAGAAATAAGCTTCACTTTGCGTGAAATTGTATTAGGTCTATTAGGTTTTATTCACTTACTCCAAGATTTTTTTTGTGTTGGACGCCATGATTGAGCAGAATGTCTGTACTTTTCTGTTTGGTGAAGTTTGTTACGTTTCAGGGAAATAGGAAGGCAAAAATTCGAGAATTTTTGTACGTGTATATTTTATTGAACAGTTTGTCTTTGAAAGCAGTAATAAAATCATAATAGAAAACTGTTTTAAAGGTTCTCTAAATATGCAACCATGAACTTCTTTCATTCCTTCCCAAATCTGTCTAAAAATTTGAAGAAATTAAACTAAATGCTCGAACAGGATGGGGACTTTAGTAATTACTAATTTGTTATTTAATCTAATATTTAATACTATTTAATTTAATAATAATTTAATCTATTTAATCTAGTTATTTAATACTAATTGTCAATAATTTAAAAAATCATGTTTTATATTTAACAATTGAAAGGTTTATTACATTTAAACACGTTTTTTATTTCACTAACATTTTTCAACATTTCTTTTTTGACATAAATTTTTGTTCTACCGTATTTTTAATTAAAGTGTGTCATGATCAAACAGGGAGTTTTGAGAGATTTTAGTGTGTTTTTATACATTAGCAAGATAATTCTTCGTTTCTTCTGCTCAGATTTAAAAAAGGATCTGTTCTTTGACTGTGGTAAGCAGATAGTGCCTCCCTCTTTCTGTTATAGCTAGAACTTCATGGTTGATGCATGGTTCACTAGGTTTAATCGCTGAAAAAGCGATAAAAAGCTTCAGCACAATAAAAACAAGTTAGTTTAATGTAATTAATTTTACGGTAAAAATCAAATTTTGTACATTAAATAATTTTAATGACAAGATTCTATCGTTAAAAACTGACAAAAAAATACAGCTGTGTATTTTTAAATAAATATAATACAATAATCCCGTACCTTGAGTTTTCATTATATCCAAAATATTGCTTTATTTTCTCTGGAATGTTTCTAAAATTTAACCTGACCAGGATATTTCAGCATAAGATTCTTGACAAGTTATCAATGCTTTTTTTGACATTTGACCCATTTAAGAACTGTGCCTCTTGCAAATTTTTAAACGTTTATTTTTTTTGTATTCTCACCTGTGTTTTGTGCGTCTACAGATTTTTAAATGAGTTGAAAGGACGGTTTTGATCCGTTGGTAGTCGAGAAACCGTGCCGCACTCTTTAAAGATCTTAACGACGACAACATAATTTAGTAACTATTAGAAAGAAAAATTTATTTTACCTTCTTGAAATTTTTGAGTAACTAGTAATCTGAGTACTCTCATCTAAGGCAAATTTACAGGTTAATTTTGATTTTAACTTCTCGTGTTTACTTCCAATCTTTCCCTATGTTTGGCTTAGTTCCTGCGATATCATTTACCGTTTTAAGTACTTGTTTTATGGATTATTCTGTCGCAGTCATCATATATATCCCGACCTTCAGTTTCTATATTTTTAAGGGACTTTCTTCAAAAATGGAATTACACTCATATAACGATTAATGTAAAATTTATACCGTTTACATAATTCAATATTTTATATGATAATAGAATTTTGGACATATCAGCTATTTTACAAAAACGAGTGGATTACAGAATCTAGGGCTTTCCGAATTTATATAACCGTAATTAGTATTTTTAGAAGCTTATCTCAAGTATCTTTACTCACTAGATGTCCAATTATTGGCAATAACAAGCAATAAAAAAGTTTGTAGAATCAATGTTTAACTTAGCTGATAGAACGGGCGTAATAAAATTACTACATGCATCGACCGTGATTGAGTCAATTTGTCATTGAGATATGTCACCAGTGAATTTCACAATCAACCGAATTAACACTGGAGAAAACGATATGTTTTCTTTTGTTATTTTACACATTTATAAGGATTTACAGTTTGTATTCTCAAAAAATATTTTTCGATAAGTATAAATAAAGATCGGCTTTGCTGGTTTAATTTAGAGATTTTACGTCACCCGTGTTTATCATCATCTGACTCAACACATGGCGAAGAAATACATTATTTTTTGCAGCAAAAGCCTTTTTTACTAGTGAAATGAAAATTTTTGCTTTATATTAAACTGTTTATTTTAAAATCGAGTCGAAAACAGAGATTAGTATGGAAGCCGCGAAAGTATAGATCTCCATGAGATGTTAAAAATTTCAGTGAAGTGGTATGTAAATTGGATCTTGATATTTTATATTTTAATATTTATTAAAACAATTGTATAACTTCTTTCTCGATGCAATGAAAAATGAGGATGAGTTTATGTTGTAATGTCTCATATTCGTGAAATAGTAACAGGTGCGAAAAATTATTTTTTGAAAATGTAATTTCTTATTGAACACCTCCGGTCATTTTTGACTGACAGACGTATTTTGGCATATTCTGAGGTGGATTATTTGAAAAATCTACCAAAAAAGACACGATTAATAAGATCACTGAGGTGGCGAATCAACGCTGCACAACTTACCTCCCAATACAGTGAAAATATTCCGTGATTAAAATAATCCCATAACCTAACAAACCTACCTTTTATTCAAGCTCCTATCACCTTATTAGTTTCCTTCCTGTCCTAGGCAAAATCACTAAAAAGCTTTTTCTACAATGTTTTATATCTATAGCTGAAACTTCTAATATACTAAATATTGCTCTGGTGTCTTTATCGATGTGGCTCAAGCGTTCGATCAGGTACGGTTTGCTGTTAAAGTTCAAAGATATCCTTCCTTTCACGCACCTTTTAATATTAAAATTACATCTGATAGACAATACTGCCGCTCGCTCAGAGGCTTTTTCTTCTTATATTTCCATATATCCATCATGTATCCCGCAGGGTAGCGCTCTAAGGCTCTTCCTATTCGGAATATACAAAACGAAATTCCTATTTCCTCTACCCATAATAAATGCTGTCTTGCTGACGGCACTGCCATCGTTTTGTTTGTAGCTGATCATGACAACCAATTCCATTGAAACCGTATCCAGTCTAGATCTTGCAAATGGAGAATAAAAATTAACGAAATCCACTCATATCACTTTTACACTGCAAATTTACACTTAACCTACAGTCTATTTCAATGGAAAACCTATTCCAACCTCAGGTTACAACCTTACACCTTATTAACAAACTCACCCATTTACAAGACCTACTGATGATGATGGATAGTAAGAAGTAGTGGATTATATTCCCCAAGCACTGCACCCTTCTGGCTTATTATAAATTTCTAGTTCATTAGTTTTTTTTTTTTTTTTTGTATCTCAGTTTATGTCTTCATTGCTTCACATTCGAAGCTGTTTCCTCCCCAGACTGATATGAAGATACGGAATTAAAGGGGATTTAAAGGGGATGAACCAAATAATCTAATCCCAACAAAATCCAATCCGTCCAATCAAAAAAGACTAAGAAAAAATATTTAACTGTCTCTACTAGATTTCAAATCTAACAACCCACAATGACCTCTAAATCCTATTTGTAATTGACATTATTAAATCCCGATACAAGAATTTCTACAAATATTTAAACCTTCACCCCAATCCACCTGTTAACAGCTTTCTTGATCCGCGATTTCTGGAAATCTTACACGTCTAGGATCTCTAAACGGTTGTGACCGAGAGAACTCTTGAAAGATTTACTCTTAAGAGATTGTCACTTCTCAAATCAAGTGAAACATGCTAGTTACTATGTCTGTTATATGATTTGCTTGTTGCTACTAAAAATTGCAGTTGTAAGAATTACAAGAAATAAATATAAACAAATTTATATAACAAATATTTTGTTTCGTATTTTGTATTAACATCCGTCCATAATCATGGTTCAATTTTAGCTTTGAAGCTAATATTCCCTCATATTTTATCTGAATGAGTTTTGTATGAAAAAAACAACAAAAAAAAACATGCGGATATAAAAATGAGTAATGGATACGAAATTCTTGCCTCGATAATCGTAACAAGTATGCCACTTTTGAAATGCGTCAACCTTATTTTTATATTTTATTAGGTTTCGTGGTCCGCTTGACCAAATAAATTCTATTGAAAAATTGAAAAATAGCAAAAAGGAGGGAAAATTCAAAAGGTGGGGTTGAGATGGGAAGTTATTGTCCGAGGATCGAAGTCACGATGGTTCAATGGTAGAGCAGCGGCGTATTTCGCCGAAGGTCGAGGGTTCGAATCCCACTTGTGACACTGACTTTTTATCGCAACCAAAACCTTAATTAATTGAAAACTTATTTTTATAATGACGATAGGCTTGATCTGGGACAAGAGCATTTCGAATCGCTAATTAAATCAAACGGACCAATTTGTTCGAAATATCCCATTTATTTAGCTTTCATTGTCAAAAATGAGAAAGCCTAAAGAATTAATAGTCCTATTGGCCATGTTAATGATACAGTCATGATTCATCAAAAGAATTTTAGTTAGTTAGCTTAGTTTTTAAAACTTGGTTTTGCCAGTTTCTCAAAAGATTCAAGGATTGATAATTGAATATGAATATTAGTGCAAGCTCAATGAAATTAGAATAGTAGTGTATTATTTTCTTTAATTTTCCCACCAGATGATTTATACAGGTCTGGAGGAGTTTAATTAGAAAGAAATGTGCATTAGAGTCGCAACTACGGATTCCAGATTGTACGAATTTGGTCACAAAAGGACAAAAAATTGGACAAAATCCTTTCTTTTTTTGTGCACTTTCACGTTGGGTGCGGATACAACCAATTTTATAAGAAAAATAAAATAAAACACAACAAATGAAACGACAGGGATTCAAACACAATGCCCAGAAAGATAGCGAAAGTTGATTGTAAATTCAAAGTTGTTTCCTGTCAACAGGCCCGTCGGTTATTTAAGATCGGCTGAGTGAAAGTATTTCATTTACCAGTTTAGTATGAAGAAATTCGATTCACTTTTTAAAAGCCAGCATACATTTTATGGCTCGATTTGTTTTCCTTCTTACCACGTTGTATACAATTTCTCTACATGTGAATTATCTATGGAAAACATGTCACGACCAAAAAAAAAAAAAACAAAAAAACAAGACCCTTCTTGTTTGTTAATCGAATAATGTTTTGTTTTATAAATATCTTCAGGGAATGATCCAATTTAAAGATCTTACGAATCTTGCACTTACAAAAGTTTATATTTGTTAAGGCTTTCTTAATCTAAATTTGCTCTTTGTCGTGAGTTTAACAGTATGATGGAATACTTATTTATATATAGGAGTAATAAAGTAATTGATATAGTTAATTTAAGGACTTTAAACTATGGATTATAATTTTAGGTGTTGTCGAATGAAATTGGATTTATATAGATAAAACATATACTAATATGAACCCAACTATTTAGTGATTCAAAGGATCAATTGAAGGTAAAAGGAAAGAAAGAAAAAATGAAATCAAAGTATACGACGCATGCGCTCCTTTTCCAAGGCAATCGCTGAAAAGAAGAAAGCAAAGAGATATCGACGCATTCGCATTCAGAGGACGGGCTCAACAGGTGGCTCTTCGGTTTTGAACTTCTTTCTTTAGACAGGACATAACGAACAGTAAGTCACACCTGTCAACTTATAATTTGTAAATCATGCTTACTTTTACTATTAGTTTCTACTAAGATTTTTGTCCGCTAATAATACAGGTCAAGTTAGAAAACAAAACTGTCTTAAATGGTACAAATTAAATTTTGCGTTTTTTTCAAAGTTTAGCTTTGTTTATGAACCAAATTTAACATATTAAAAGTCACGTAGTAATATGTGGATAATCACATCATCAAGTCCTACTTTTATTAATACAGAAATAATCATGTTTGGATTATTTTTTTTGCATCAAGTAAAATTAAATGGTTGATTATAAAACTTGCAAAAAATTTTGTTTTTGTTTGGAGTTGTTAAAAAATAATAATTTGTATTTTCAGAAGATGAACCATCCAATGTACGTCAAATGCACTATCTCCTCAATTGATAATAAGACTTAGTAAGACTGATTAATTCTTTTTTTCTATATTTCCTGTCTTACTAGAAAAGTTCCATTATATGCATTTTCGTAATAATTTTTTTTAGATTTATTCCTTCGTCATATGGGTGGTTCACCTGGACTTAATTATGCTTTGTCCAATGTCCCTTGTTTTGATAAGTATAGAATCTTTTCTGATTTTATTTCCCCTTTTGTAAAATTAATTTTTGTACAACCGAAAAACGAGGTTAAGTTGACTATTTAACCGTTAAATGAGATAGAGAATGAACTAAGCATGAAATTAGTTCATATTAATGCATTACATATTATGAAACTGATTCGGTTAACTATTCATACTAATACGTCACATAATACGAAATTAATTCACATTAAAACATAAACAATTTCAGGTGCAAAGTACATCATTCCCTGACCTTTGAAAGTAAATAAACTTTATACTAACAAAAATGGACAAGAAAACAGAAAAATTATTAAATTTTGTCGTTATAAATTAAAATAAAACTCCTTAAATTTTCATTCTCGCACAAGGCTCTTCTAATTAAATAACAAAACTAGAAAATATGTTGTAATATACTTTATATTATATAATTTGCCATATTTAAATTAGATTTCTAAACCTTTGAGAATCTGTAATAAGATAGGCTCATAAACACATTATTTTTGAATTTTTATACAGAGATTAAATAGCGGATTAAATTTTTTGTTTAAAAATAAAAAATAAAGAATAGAGGTATGTTAGGTTCGAAGTTTATTGTTATCACCTTGCGTCCACCTGCATAATAAATAAACGCATTTTTATTCGTATTTTAAAGCTTAGTTGTCACTATTGATTCTGGATTTGTAAACTGTTAGGTATTTATTTTTATAAATTATTATTTCGTAAGCACACTAAAGACCAGAAATCAAATTATCATTTGATATGAAAAAATTGTAAATTTTGCATTATTTATGACAACGTTTTTTTGTACAAGTAGTTACTAATACATTTTTGAAATTGATAGTACATAATATTAAAATGAATGATTATTTATTGGTGTGAGTTTATATGTAGTTAATTTTGTATTTGAACGTGATTATATGCTTTTTTCTTTAAATATTTGCAAAACATCATATATGTAAAAGTATGTGTTATTTTATTTTTTAGTTCAAAATTTGTACAAATTAAAAAATAAATATTATTAAATTGTTTAAAACACTGCATAATAAATTTACCACGAAAAGCAAATCATAAGTAATTAAAATATTTCTAATTCGTACAAAATCGGACGAGTTTTTTTATTTGGCTAACTAACATTTTTATTTTATTTTTTATTTTTATGCTCATGGTTGTCAGAGTAATATTTGCTTTCAGTTTGACTATTCCTTTATTAATGGCCATTATATCTTAGTAAAAACATCTTTCGTATGTGTGCAGTTCAACATCACTTCTTCACATGTTCTTCGTTTTTATTTCCTAAGAAATCGGGGTGATTAGAAGATTAATTTTAATTTTTTTTGTATTTACTAGGTAGAATTTTAATGATTGATTTATGATCAGTTCATTTTATTCGAAACAATCATCTGTACTCCATTATTATTATTTTATACAAATTACAAATCACGAATTTATAAAATAGTAAACGTTTTTAAATTTCACTCTTGGTTTGATTCTGTGATAGTTGTTTTATTTAATTTATTAAGAATTCAAATGTGTCACGAATTATTACTTGTTACATAACGTGTTATGACGTGATGGTGAAATTATAACAGTGCAGATATAATGGAACTGTATTGTTATATCTTCTATTATTTCTTATGGTTTAAAAACGTTTAGGTCCGGCTATCCTTTTATTCACGCTTATGTAGGTTTAAAAAAAGCTATTGCTTTGTAGGTACAATAATTGTAAACATTAAAAAAACCCACAAACAAACAGAAGGGATCACATTTTCATAGAGGGGAAGCGCGTCCCTGACCGGATCTATTAAAAGGAAGGACGGCCCGAAACCGGGATTTAATTAACAGTATCAACATGTCATTAATTTACTTCAAAGTGCCGAAAATTTTATATAGACGAGTGTTTTTCGAATGTAAACAAAGACTGTAAAAACCGATTTTGTTTATGTAAGAAACACTTCACTAAGTACGCATTAAACTAAACAAGCTCTCTTAACGGAATCAGTGTTGTCGACAGTTTTACCAAAATATGGGATGGAAAGAAAAAGCGAGTCAACCGTTTACATCCAGGGGGAGTTCAATTATTCTATATGGAATAATGTGATATTTATTGATTACGAAATAAACTCTTTCGTTCTGAATTTTTGGTATTTTAGACTATTTTCCTAGTTTTTGCTAAAGATAGATTATATTTGATGACATCAGGATTTCGTCGTTCGTTTCAAGCACTTTTCACACTCTGATGCTTCCTTCACAAGTGATAAAAACTGGCTATAACCCACGCTTACGAAATTTTAAGCGGAAAGGAGCGAAAAAAATCTATAAACTACAAGGTTATAGCTATCTCAGAGTAGTAAAACAATGTCGATACGTTAGTTAAACGAAAACAGTTTAACTCAGTTTATTAAATTAAAGCACAATTAAATCAATTAGCTCATTAATTAACTTGTAGCGATGGAACAAATTATCGAAATAGAACAAGCCCCGGTAGTGGTATAGATCGACAGCTTAAACTGAGTATCTATGGGTCACCAAAAGCAGTTATAAACTAACAAATGTAAAAAACGTGTACTGGCATGGTATCAGCGATTTTTGTAATCCCTGTCCGTTATTTTCATAGCGACAGAATCTATCCATTTATCTTTGAATTTGATTGAAATTGATTAGAACACTGTATATAATAGCATTGTTGGATGCTTCCTATTTGATTGGCGGGATTGTGTATTAATACCTTTAGAGAGGACTAACAAACTTTAGAACTTCATAGCCCATAAAAACCGCATTTAATGATTGTTATTTCAACTCATAACTCAATAAATTGGCCATAGTACTTAAAATATCAGAAGCAGCACTGATCTAGATTAACCGAGTTTTATACATTTATGAAACAAACCACAGATACACTAAGTGAGAACACCCATGAGCTAAATGACAGGCTTAAAAAGTTAAAGTAAAATTGGCCACTAGTAGGATACTTCCTTGATGGTGCTTAGCGTTAAACAGATTACACATCAGAAAGGGTTGGGCTTTTTGATTCATGTGGGATGTAGCATGACCTCTTACACAAGAAACACATTCGCGTCGCATTGGGCTTCACAAATAAATAACTTGCGTATCATAAGTTTAAAAATCTAAGAAACAACTTGTCAGCCAGATACTACAAGAGATCTTGCCTTACTAAAATGTTATCATCATCCCATGACATAAAATATATGTAGAATACATTTTTAGGTTTTTAGGTTCACTAGGTTCAATATAGTCATATCATTTATAAGAAAGGTCTATTTTAATATAGAAATATGGCTGCAGCTTCATAAATCATTCTCATTTTATGCGGGACAATTATTTTTCCAAATAGATCAATGAGTTATAACACAACTTTGAAAATTTCAGAAGATTTTTGTCATAAACATACTACTCGACTTAGCAACCCAAAATTAACATGATCAATTAGCTATGAAACTGTCATATAGTGATATTATTTGTCTACTCTGAACAGAAAATAGAAATTATATTAACAAATGTATACATTATACATTGTGTACAATGGTTTAGTGATGTTTCTATCTAGAGAGATCTAGATAGATTTTTAAGCTAGAGCTCAAGGATGGTAAGGTGGGACTGTAGGCGAACGGCCAGGACAGTATTACTGTGAGTAGCCAGGTTCGCATTGTCATCTGGAAATATGTCAGCAGTATATATTATGAAAGGATTGGACCAAGTTTATAGTAGTTTAGTAGCTCATAGTACATAAAAGATGGTTAGGGATGGTAAGGGTGCGAGGTTTCAGACGGCCGTTTTTTAGAGGTACACGAGGGTGAGGGTGTCATAGGGAGGGAGGGTGCATAACCATACATGCATGTATACAGGGTAGCATAAAATGTTCCAAAGTCCAGCCCTGCTACATGGGAACGGACTCGTAGTGGCTTAGTGCCATGTTCCTGGCGGGAATTTAGAGAAAAGGCTGTTCTTCTATCCGCCCAAGCACTTCCGTCCTTCGTTACAACCCCGGCGTCACGGGATACGAAGGATCGGACCATCGAAGCGTATAGGGTTGAGGACGGAGTCCCTCGAATGTGTGAGAAGTTGCAGATGGGAGCACATAGTAACCGGTGGGGCCGGCATGGGCTTCCTTTACCAAAGGCAGTCTCCTCTAGGGGGTGGTTAATAATTCCACTTTAAACAAAAACGCTGGAGGAGCTCCAATACTCTGGGATATAGAGTCCCCTTCTCTATCTAGGGAGTGCGTGGGAGACTAGGATGATGCATTTCAGCCCTTGGGTAGCCCTTTACGCGCGGCATACGGTCTGATGCACAATTCAAGACCCGACCTCTCGGAAAGGGCAAGCGGAAAGTGAGGCCCGTCTTGGTCCCTCGGGGCTGGAGCGGCTTCTACACCAACACTTGCGGCTGTACCACACA